CCCATCCCCGGGGCCGCCGCGGGAGCCCCGCGGCTGCAGGCGGGAGGTAGCGCTCGGCCAGAGCGCGGGGCCTGCGTTATTTGCGCTGCGAATGAGCGTGTGCAACGCTGTGTAGCACCGTAAAACTTGGTAGCCGACTGGCCACTCGCCCGTTGGTTGCGTTTGATGGCCACGTCTCAACGACCTCGCTTCCCGGCGTTAGGGACACCTAAAAAGTAGCCCCCTGAGCGCTGCTCGTGGCTGTCTGAAGCGCAGTCTGACCCCTAGGAAGCATGCGGGTCTGCTGCCAAGTAGCCCCCTGAGCGCTGTTCGTGGCTGTCTGAAGCGCAGTCTGACCCCTAGGAAGCAGCCGGTTCTGCTGCCCCTGTCCCATGTGGGGAGCGTGAGCCCCCGAGCGCCCGGAAAGGAGAGCAGAATAAACCCCATAGGGCACAGGCTGCGTGTTGGTGTTTGTCGTTATGAACTCTTCTGTTTTTAACAGCCTCGGTTTTGCCTATCACGATTGTTTCATTTTGTTGCTTCCCAGTTTTATGTGGTAGTACGTTGTGCTTCCCATTCAGGATTTTTTTTATTGTAGCCTTTTGTTTTGTTTTTGTTTTGTTCTGTGTGGGTTTTGTTTTGTTTCCTTTTTTATGTTAAGAACACTGCATGTCTTTTATATTTCCACTGTTTCATCTGCTTTTGTAGTTTTCGGAGAGGCCTTTTTCTCTATTAAATGTATCTTCTTCAAAAGCAGAAGGACACACTGTCATCTTTGTTTATATTATAGGAAGTTTATCATTGACAGTTTCAGGTTAAAAAAGGCCGCTAAACCTCTCTCCAGAAGATAATTCATCATTTGGATTATGTATAGGCTGTCCTTAAAAACTTCTTGATTCGATGGTCAACCTGCAACCTGCTTTTTTTCTTTTTTTCTTTTTTTCTTTTTTTTTTCTTTCTTTCTTTTTTTTTTTTTTTTTAAAAGAAAATTCTGCGGATTTTGGCCCGAGAACACATTACATTCTTAGACTTAAACAATCAGCACTATCTATTTTTGTAAAAACATAACATGGTTTGCTTCTGGCTACATTCTTACATGGGACTTATATTGGTTAAGACTTCCTAATACTCCTTGCATGTTCTTCATTCCAAAGCACTCTTCTGGTGGCTAAATGAGCTAAAAATCACTGTCTGCAGCTTAAGGCAGCATAATTGAAACCAGCCTTAGTGATGTCTTTGCATTGTGCAGTTTGCACGCGGGAGTCCTGTCCTGATTTTGCAGCACACCTCAGATGCCTATTGTTTTTATGAGCCTAGGTTTCTTAGAATTGGAAGAAATCTCAGGTTGAAAAGCTGATTGCGTCTCATTAGATACTTAAAATACAAAAGTATTAAGTGTTAATGATTTGGGATTTAAAAAAAAATCAGACTAAACTTTTCATATTTAGTGATTAATTGTGAGTTTTGTAGTTTAACTTTTCATGCTCATTTTTTGGAAACTTTTGGCATGGTTTTCAGTATTGTCTTGCAAAGGTCAAGTTTTTGCTGCATCTAATGAGTTGAAAGTAGCTTTATTTTTAGTACTTGTATTCAACTTCAGAATTCTCAATAGCATTGCTTTGGTCTTTCAGTCTGCCCATAGAAACTTCATTTGATGTTTTGGGTCTCCCCTGTACGTGTGGAAGTAACTGTACATTGTATCTCCCAAATCTATCGAAGATGCTCGGTGCAGTTTCAGGCCGTGTGTTGTGTAAACGGTGAGCACAGAGCACAACCAAGGCACGTTACAAGGTGCCGTTTCTTATGTTCTCTTTGGTGTATTCAGAACAGTTGCCAGCTGGTTTCCAATAGAAATAGTGTGGTGTACAGCAAAACTCTGGGGATTGTTTTGAGAGACGCTAATAATTGCTTTGTAAACTGGAACTTCCTCTGGCAAAACTTCCTGGCTATAAAGGAATAGTATTTGCTTGCAGAATAGAGTATAAGAAGAGGTGCTTCACTGTTGAAAGCCATATTTTGGAATGGTTGTGACTGTAGATAACTGACTCTTAATTTCAGTATTCTTCTTGAGCTGATTGAATGTTTTATGAACCGTGTTTCTAAATTGGCTCTGCCTAATAATTGCTGAAGTGCCTGGTTAAGTAGAGTAAATGTGTAAATACTGGTGAATGAAACTGAAATTCTGCAGTTAAAGGAAGAAAAGAATCCTTCATTGTGAGCCACCTGATACCTTGCATAAATTATCAAAGTGACTCAAAAGTTGTGTTACATTCTTTATTATTGCTGGGAGTAAGGGGTGCAAAGTAACTTCATTAAAATGGAATATGGCTATGATATTTCATTGTAAGACTATTTATATTGCTTTCATCTTTGTCAAATAGCATACAAACAAAATAATGTGAGTTTCTAACGTGTAGCACTGAAAGTCCTTTCCTAGAAATCGGAGCCAAAGCACGTGTCTCCTAACGTACAGGTGGTGGATCAAACACATGAAATGGTATCAGGACCTACCTGTAGAGCAGAAGTATCTGAAAGTGCCAAAGTTGTGCTGCTTATTTGTGGAGTAGGCATCACTTTCAAAATAGCCGACTGCTGCTATGAATCTGCTTCATATAGAAGTAGATTGCCTTGAAGGGAGAGAGTACAATTTGAGTAATTTTTGTGGTTCTTAGCGTGGAGTGACTTGTTTAATCTGGTTGGAAATAATGACGATATAGCCTGCTTAAAAATTCAGCAACTTTTATACTGGTGAGTGTTGGGTTGCTTTCTGGGATATTTGATTTTGTGTGTGTGGAGAAAACTAAAATGTTTTTCTTTTTCCTCTAATCAGATCAGCCAGGAGGCACCATGAGTGTCAAGGCTTTCAGGCTCGTCTCTGCTGTTGAGCGGGAGATGCTGATGGGAGACAAAACTCACATCAACATTGAGTGCATTGAGTGCTGTGGGAAGAACCTCTACATTGGAACCAATGACTGCTTTATCTATCACTTTCTCTTGGACGAAAAGATATCAACAGCTGGAAAAATAACTTTTGCTGCTACCAAGCAGCTGCACAAATACCTAGGCTTCAAAAAGTCTGTGAGTGAGCTAAAAGCAGCGTCCGCCCTCACCAGGCTGCTTGTGCTCTGCGACAACACGATAACACTAGTTAATATGATGAACTTGGAACCTGTTCCCACGGGCGCAAGGATCAAAGGAGCTGTGACCTTCACATTAAATGAGAACCCCGTGAATGGGGACCCTTTCTGTGTCGAGGTCTGCATCATCTCCGTCAAGCGTCGCACCATTCAGGTGTTCATGGTGTTTGAAGACAGAGTCCAGATAGTGAAGGAAGTGTTTACCCCGGAGCAGCCCTACGCTGTGGCTGTAGATGGGCATTACTTGTGTCTCGCCCTTACTACGCAATATATCATACTGAATTATAACACTGGTGCCTCCCAGGATCTGTTTCCTTACTGCAGTGATGAGAAACGGCCAATTGTGAAAAGGATAGGCAGGCAGGAGTTCCTGCTTGCTGGGCCTGGAGGGCTAGGTGAGACAACGGGTATTTTCACAACTTTTGATCTTCTGGTGTTTTATCTCAGTTTGGGAAACAGAGCATAAGTAGCTATTACTCGAGTGCGAAATAATGTTATTTTTCCTTATAAAGCAGTGCTGGAATATTGAGAGCAAAAGGTAAATTATTGGTACTACATGTTATTACCTCCCACCTTTCATGTAAGTGCACAAAATTATGCTTAAATGCTTGTGTTTTAATCAGGGCTCTGGAGTGTTTTGTCTACATAGACAGCTGCCAGGAAACGTACTGTTTTCCCGCAGCCCAGAGTAACTAAAATTTGCTTGGTACTAAGTGAAATATCAAAGACTGATAGCCTAGCTGTAGTGACTCACTGGACTGGCTTTCACAACCCTGTACTGCTATAAATTATTTTTGGGCTAGTGTAGGCAAGTTAACTTCTGACGAAGTTCCTATTAGGAAGCTTCATGTGAATTCCCTTTTGTAGAATGTAATAGGTATGTTGCATTACAGCACTAATAAGAAATGGTATTTGAAATAAACTCTAACCTAACTTCCTGTAGAATTAAACCCTGTCCTAACTGTAGATGCTGTGAATTTCCAGGCATTTTTATGTTATCCTGTGCTCATATTTTTAGAGTGTTTTTTCAGGTCCATGTTACAGAAAATGATGGTTTAAGTGTAGTGTACTGAGTATACTAAGCTGTGTAGTGTTAAGTCCAGTAAAAAGCAAAACTGCTGTGATATTAGTTTGTTTTGGTGGAGGGACAGCACAGAAGAGCACAACCAATCTGAGGTCTTATTGGAGTGTTTTGATGATAGAGTAAGCTGAGAAAAGATGGTATCCTCTGCAGAAACTCATATTTACAAAGAAGGAACTGGTGGGGGATGTGGAGGTCGGAGGAACCATGTCTGCAGTGGTCATGAGATGGTGGAATTCAGGATCCTGAGAGAAAGGAACAAGGCAAATAGTACTTCAGGAGAGCTGGCTTTGACTTCTTTAGTGACCTGCTTGGAAGAGTCCCATGGCCCTGTGGAGAAGGGGAGTCTGAGAGCTGTTTGACCTGTAACAATGTGACACAGAGATGCTGACAGCATGTGTGAGGATAGACTTTGGTTTTCCTAAACCCATCTAGAGCTGAACTCAATGCTGGACGTGAAGGGTGACAAGAAGGGCTTCTGCAAGAGGCAGGTGGACTGCCTGGACATGGTTTCCTTCTGACCTAAACTCTTTGATAGTTTTAGTGAGCTATAATGCACACCTTTATTTTAGCTTCCTGCTGTGTTTCTCCAGCATAAGCTCTCGGCGATGCGTGGCCTGACCGCGTGCGCGGTGACTGAGTAGTCTGCGAGCAGAGGTGGAGAACTGAATCTTCCCCCTTGTACAAATCTCACAAGCAAGAGCAGAGGGTTGTGCAGTGCATTTCCTCAGAGCTGCTGACTTGGTATAAAGCAAAGTAGTCCGCAGTGACCAATCCTTCTTTTCCCTTCCTGTTTTCATGTACTGTAGTGTTTCTCATTGCTTTTTTTAAACAAGTAAACCCTGGCAGTCTAACAAGTAAACCCAGGCCCCAAGTTGCCTGAGCAAATGCTTGTTCTACTTTGAGTGGGGTGACTGGACCGGGTGAGCTCCAGAAGATCATTCAGGCTAAATTATTTTTGATTCTGTCAATTTTTAGGTCTGTTTCATACTGAAAATTGTGTGCTTTGGGGTAACTCTTGCATCTTTCAGGTAGCCTACTGGCCTTTTTTAATGTGAAATTGACAGTGACTTCATCTTAGTTCCCTCAAATACTTTCTTTTTCTGTTAAAAAGGCCATAATTTCTGATTGTAGTTGTCATGTTTATTATCCTTAGACAAGAACTGGGTAAAGACAAGGGGAAATACATCGTTATATCACAAATCCCCTGCCATTGAGGGCAGAGAGGTTTAGACAGGCTTTGACTTGGAACAGCACTGTGTTATGCACAGTTCCTATTCGTAAATGATTTTTCTGAATTATCTCAAACTGGAATTTCACTTGAATTGATTCTAAGACAAGACTTGTTACGGAGAAACAGAGAATATCACATGCTCTAAATGGAAGTGATGCTCTGTAGCCCAGAAGCAAGTGCAACTTTTATTAAGCAGTCACTTGGAGTGAATGGACAGGTAGAAAGATAACACAAATTAACTGAAGGTGCTTGACTGAAAGTGTGGGTTTTATTGGAATGTTAAGTCTTTACTTCACATGGAGCCTCTGGATTTTGTTGCCAGTGCTTGAAAACACAGATACCTTGCAGGATGTGACTCTTCTGAAGGAAATGAAGAAAAGTCAAGGAGTGAATGGAAGTTTCATCTCCATGTGAGGAGGAACTTCTATGAAGGTGACAGAGCCCTGGAACAGACTGCCCAGAGAGGTTGTGGAGTCTCCTTCTCTGGAGATCTTCCAAACCCACCTGGATGCAGTCCTGTGCCATGTGCTCTGGATGTCCCTGCTGGAGCAGGGAGTTGGACTGGATAATCTCTAGAGGTCCCTTCCAACCTCAACCATACTGGGATTCTATGAAATGCTTGGTAATAGACTGGCACCTTCTTAAGGCATTTGATGCTGCGAGAAACAAATGTGTTTAAAATGGGAGATAGGTCAGGCAGTGCTTGTCTGCAGCTCCTACTAGCTCTTGTCTCACCAAATACTGTGTGTTTTAAAGTAAATTCAAGCTACATGGCATAACTCTTTAAAAAATACTGATAAACTTGCTGAACATTAATTCTTTTATTCTATATTTTTCCAGCATATTTTCTTTTCACTCTTCAATCCTGTCACTTTTTGTTGGTGAAGGATAAAGAAAATCATGATTTGAGCTATCTAGCAAGTCTTTAAGGTGCAGTGATTTGTAAGATTTGATGCCCTGTCATTTTGCCCCCCAATGCTGTATATGTTCTTTTGAGAGTTGCTATTTCTAGTTCTTGATCTCAATGCTCAGGACTGGGAAAACAACAGTCCTAAACTAAGTCTCAAGCTCTTTTTCCCTTTGTTCTTCACATGTAGGGATGTTTGCAACCGTAGATGGCATTTCCCAACGAGCCCCCGTGCACTGGTCGGAGAACGTGATCGGAGCAGCCCTTTGTTTTCCTTACGTGGTTGCTCTGGATGAGGAGTTCATCACAGTGCACAGTATGCTGGACCAGCAGCAGAAGCAAACCCTGCCTTTCAAAGAAGGTCACATTCTGCAGGACTTTGAAGGTATTTAAATGGACACTTATTTGCGTTACTGACTCTGTATTGTGTGCTCTGTAACATAACTCACTAGTGTAAATGTGGACACAGTCTTGTTTGTTTTTTTAAGCAAAATACCTACCAACCACGTTAGCCATTGAAACACTTTTCATTGTAAATGCTTTCAGAGTTAGGTTCCTGCAGACTATGATAGACAAAACTTGGTCTTCTGAAACTGTATGCTCATTAAATGTGCTTTAATTGACAATTTAGTTGTCTGAGATGTCTGTGAGATTATAATTTTTTTCTGTAATTAAATTATTTTCTGTCTGTGTTTTTTACTGTGTTTCTTCTGTGGAGAACATAAACTGATACTACTTTGCTCTATTCAGGCAGAGTAATTGTGGCTACTAATAAGGGTGTATATATTTTGGTGCCACTCCCTTTGGAAAAACAGATACAGGATCTTCTAGCCAGCCACCGAGTCGAAGAAGCCCTTGTCCTAGCAAAAGGAGCTCGAAGGAATATTCCAAAAGAGAAGTTTCAGGTCTGTTCTTTTAATTTTCATGGAAGAGTTTCACAGTGGGGCCAGCTTGTCTATCAATGGTCAGCTGACTGCAGAGGGGATGTGTGGGGAGAGAGGGTGGTTTCTTTGATTCATCACTTATCCTTTCAGCCTTAGGAAGTGAAAGTGCTGTAAAACTGATCTCTGCTTGTAAAAGATGGTGATGTGTTGGCAGTGGAGATGTGCTTTCCTGGTTTGTACCTATTCCCCCACCTCCAGGGTATAACCTGAAAAAAACAAAGCAAAACAAAGCTCAAAATGGTGCTAGAAAAGCTCTTATAGTGTTTAGCAGTAGGTTCAGCTGTTCGCTCATTTTAAACAGCAATATCAGTTTGTTTCTAGTCAGCTATTTGTTTTGAACTTTTTCTCATCAGAGATTCTTGCTGTGTCTTACACTCAACAATATTGAAACTTAGAGCAGAGCCATGCCTGTGTGTGACTGAATATTTAATATTTTTATGTGGCAAAGTACTGAGTAGCCGTTTTTATTAGATTGTTAAATTAGAGGTTTATATGCCTTCTGTCTCCAGTTCATAGTGCAAAACAGTCCTTTAGATTTTCAAACTTGAGAGAAGTAGCATGAGATTTCTGAAATACAAAGTAATACAAATCAGTTTATTCTTGATCAGTGTATGTGAATGAGTACTTGAATTGTTTTCTTTCCGTTTCCAAAAGCAAAAAGTGGTCTGTAACTGCAGAAATTGGTCTGTAGCTTGCAGAAATGTATCTGTATTCAGATGAGATGTTAGTCTTTTTTATCTGCATGAGGACCTCTAATTTTTCCAATTCTTCAGTTTATTTGGATTAAGCATGGAAAATGTCTTTGTTGGCAGATTTAACTGCAATTCAGTATCTGAAATACATCCCACAATCTATTTCCTCTCGCATTTTTTTGATTTTTTTTTTAAGTATTTATTGTCTTTAGCATAAGTTACCTAACATATCTTGTGTGTGCTGAATATCTTACCTGCACTTCTGAAATTACTGTTTTCTAGAATATTGTAAGCTCTTGTGATTTTAAGTTAGTGTGTTCTTTAATTTTTTTCAGGTAAGTGCTCTTAAGGGTGTTCAGTTGCTTTACATCTATGCTACAGCTGAAAAACAAAAGATATTTTATTTTCAAGCAGAAGAGCCAATTGTAGTTCTGAGCAATGCTTATATGCCCAGCTCAAAATGGAGTCTTCCTCTGATTCGTATTAGAAGATGGAACTTGGCTTAGCCCTTGAGAAAGGAGTCCAGTTTTCAGAGCACATCAGCAGCTGCAAACATGATGTGTTAAACTGGCCCTCTGTGGTCTCTGGTGCCTAACGCTGTCACCGCAGGTTTGTTTGAAGGACCTCAGACCTCAGCTGTGGGCTCATGTAGCAGAAGTGTAGAGATGTGATGGAGCACAGCGAAGTTACATGCTTTAAATGTATCTTGGGTAACATTTCTGTAGCATAACATACAGTAATTCTCTCTTAATAGAATATATATTTATTCTGCAAGCATAGTTGAGCTGCTTTATTCATTCCCAAGTAGTTAATGCTCTTTTTGGGGCCATTTTATACTAGCAGGGGTAGGAGGGCAAAGGTATTGAGTTAAACTACTTGATCCAGCAGAAGAGTGATGGTATTTGAGTGGTGTGTGTATATATAGTAGAGCACGCCCCCACCCCTTTCTTTCCCCACATGCTCCTTTAATCTTCCCAGTTTGATATGGCTTTTGCCAGTCTGTGTGCCTTGAACTCGATGATGATACTGTAGCACAGACTTTTTGGGGAGGTAGGGCTTTTTGCTGCAGTTGAATACTGCTTGGTTATTGCATGGATTCATGTTGCCTCCCTCCCTCCTTTAAAATAAATAATTTAGGTATAATTTAAGTGATAATTTGGGGTGGCAGTGGTATTGAAACAGCTTAATGTACTCTAATGTCTGAATTATGTGTGCAATCAGTGTTTTAGTTATTGTGAAAAAGTAGGTCATAGATGAGTAGCCCTGTTATTTAGCCCTATGGGCTGTAAATTTCTCTGTGCATTAGATGAGAATTCTTCTGTCTTTGAGAATCAAGAAATATTGCTAGGTAGAAAACTACTAAGCACAAGTGGTGCAAGGATATCATTCTGGTAGAGTAGCAAAGGCTTTTCTACCATGCTACCATGAGATGACTGAACACTACGTATTTGTTAATTTTTCAGGACAGCTGAAGTTTGCAGAAATCATGGTGGTTGGTAGTGAAGACCTTGCTTAGATTGACACACATCTTGCATAGGTATCTCTTTTTTTACCTCTCATTTTGTTTAGTCTTAAAAAAAAAATGTATAAACTACATCCAGACCAGTCCAGAGATGAAGTAATTTTCTAGCCAAGCCTCTCCTGGCTATCTCTGTAGTAATGTTGACCATGCTAGTAAGGATTTCTCTAGCAATTGACAGAAAGCTTCACTGTGGCTATTGCAGCTTTAATATTAACCTTTCTGTTTACTAGAGCTTTTTAAAATGCTGCTTTTCAGTTAATTATTATGTGTTTGTAACTAGATTTTAGTTCCCAATATTTGTTTCCATTCAACCAACAATATAGAATTCTCTTACAGCACTTTGAGTCCTAAAGTCTCTCTTCAAACAATGATAAGGGAATTTGTGTTGATTTTTTAAACAGGCTATAACCTAGTACCTTTAATACAAACATCCAAAACACAATATTACAGGTAACAGGTCTGGAGGAACTTGAAAAGATTGCTTTTTTTTGTTTGTTTTTTTCCCATTCCAAACAAAATGTAAGTAGATACGGCTCTTGAATAACATCAGTCTGGCTCATTCTTAAAAACCTCTGGGAAGGAAACTGTAGAATTCTTTCCCTTTTTGCCTGTAAAGTCCCTGTCATGAGCAGTATCAATGTCTCATGTGCATCTTGGCTGAAAATCAAGGTAACTACTCCCTGTCCTATCAGGACGTCTTTCCAAAATTGGGAAAAGATCAATAGAAGCTGGAGGGTGGGGAGGGGAGGCAATTTTTCACAACTTTGAGACAAGTGCCAGGTCAATAATGTAAATAAAAGTGAGTATCCCTCAATTGGTTTAAATTTAAAACTGATTTTAGCCCTATTCTTGTATGAAGTTCTTAACTTTTAATTGAAAAGATTGCTTCACAGACCAATCTATACAGTTAAGGGATTAACTTAAGATGGATTAAACTTAACACCAGCACTCTGATTCTTTATGTACATACTAGTGATCACTTTACTGTAAAGATTGGAAACAGCCTTAAAATACTTCGGATATCAATTTTCCTAGGAACATGAGAAATTATTTTCTAATCTTCCCTGAAAAGTGTAAGGCCACATCTTGAAGATTTCTGGTGCCACAAGGGGCAGATATTTGCTTAGAAAACATTGCAGTCTGCATCCTTAGTTGGACACAACTGCCTAACATAGAAGCACTGAATTTATAGTTTTGTTTCTTTGGAGAGAGGGGAAAAAAAAAAAAAACTTTTTTTGTTTCCCCTTTTCTCTTCAACTGTGGGAGGCAATAAAAAAAAATCAGCCCCCTTGCAAAGCAGCAGGTTTCAGTGGCTTACTGACATCACGTCCACAGGCTAAATGGACTTAAGCCAAACTTCCCTCTTGGTAAATTATAAATGTTAATCAAGACAAAAGATCACCAGTGGGAGTATTAGTGTACCCTACTTGAGGTCTCTTGCTTTTTAGTAATTCTGTTGTGAAATATATTGCTTAATATATTAAATTTTCCTGGTATTCTCACTGAAATTGGAGGCCTATTATTAACAACACCACTTGTAGTCCTCTGTTAGATGTTAAAAACAGCAAATTCATAAGGAAGTTGGAGGGGAAGAGTGAAGGCATGTGGATATAGCTCGCTGTGTTTGGAAAATGCAAAGCCAAAGAGTCACCAGCAATGACGTTTTCCAGATGACAGTTTACATTACATTTAATAATTCTCTTTTGCCACTGGAAATATCTTGGGCACAAGGACTTCATTTCACCTGGTGGCAACCAACTCAGTGTTCAGATTAAATACCTAGCATTTATAGGTGATTTTTTTTTTCCTCTGTACTGAGTTATTTTTGCCTAACTGTGAACTTAGCAGCAAAACTTGGTTACATGTTGTTTTTCTTATAGTTTGCTTGTGCTTTCTGTGTTTTTGTACTTTGCATAAGGTGCTGCTGATCAGCTAAACTTAAGTTTAGAAGTATTTATTTTTTTAAAAAAATTGCTAGGCAGAAAATCAGAAGTATGATCATTCACAGTGGGGAGGCTGTGAGAATCAGCAGCAAGATATTATTGGAAGACTGAGAAGAGGAGGGCAGGCAGTTGGCTTTGTGCGTTTTATATATACATATGTGCGTGTGTGTATATATATATATATACACACATGTACACAAACGTACCCATGTGTCCCATTTGCCTATTCAGTTGTGGGGGTCTCTGAAGATGACCCACTTGCCTTTACATTTGCTAGTTCCATGAGCAAAAACTCAAAAGTCAAATTCTTATCAAGTAGTAAGTCATCATTTGAACATGTAAACTTGCTATTTGTGACTTGCCTTTTAGCAAGTACTCCTGAACAGTGTTGTGTCCACCGACTTTTGTGGAAGAAAGGCAGCACTACGTGCGCCTGGCTGAAGATTCTTTATTCAGTGTTTGTTTTTTTTGTTGTTGTTGTTCTTGTGGGGTTTTTTGTTGTTGTTGTTTCTTGTCAGATAGTTATTGCAGTACCCTATGGATGATGATGTTTTTTTCTCTTCTTTTCCATAGGTAATGTACAAACGAATCCTTCAGCAAGCGGGTTTTATTCAGTTTGCACAGCTTCAGTTCCTTGAAGCAAAAGAGCTCTTCAGGTAATTCTGTGACAACAAATTTACTAATAGGCTTTCAATAAGGAGTTAGGGTACTTGGTTTTAGAAATGTTTAATGACTGCAATGTTTTTTGATGTGGATGTGAAATCTCTGTGATCAGATGTTTTTGTTGGAAGGGTGGCATTGGGGCAGTTTTCCATTATAAAACTTAATGCAAATGCTTTTTCTGTATGCCAAAATATTTTAGCGTTGACACTGTAGGCCTGTAGTCTGATTTTTCTTTTTGTGGAGATATATTGACCTGATGCCTATGAAGGTCCAGGCTGTTTTATTCAGCCTGTGCTGTGATCTATATCATGAAAAATTGCCTGGTTTCTTTTAAGTATGTGTTTCCTAAGAAAAAATGACAATTTAAATACTGTTCATGCAACTGTACTAGCTTTTATGAGGATGTAGATACTGAATTTGTGTTAACACTGGCTCAGCTAGATCATTTTCAAAAGATAGATGACTTTGTTCACAAATTGATCTTGCTATTGCACTTTGACTCTGTAAAGTGGTCAAATGCTGCTTGTTTTATTTGTTTTACCTGACTATTTCACAGAATAGCTATCCTTAACAATCCTTCTTTTGTATGTAGAATGCTTTGAAAAAGTTGTCCTTGGTTTAATGGAGATAATGTGAAGGAAGGTGAAGCTGTGGGAGATGTTACTATTGAGGAGGGAACTTTCCATTTTCACTTCAAGCACACCCGGGTTATGTGAAACACAGGTCTTTAATGGGCAATGCACAGTGAACAGCGATTAGGAAATGCCAAGATTGTCCTAAATATCATTTAGGAGCAGCTTCCGTTCACAATCTCTTTATCGTCCCTTTTTTGGCTTTAGTGCGAAACCTGCAATCTTCCTTCCTCCTTGCCAATCTCCGAGACACTGCACTCGATCGCTGCTGTTGTATAGCTGAAGTAAAAGTACAAGCTTTGTAGTACAGAATCTCTTGCTGTACCAAATTCCTGAAAAGCCCTTGCGTGTGGTCCTCTCTTGCTGGTAGTTGGTGGAAGATCTTTTAAAAGCAGTGAGCAGAGGGAATGTATCAGGAGCTCTAGCATTTGTGGGAAGAAGGGGGTGATTCAGTTGGATTGGTCTTGATTTGTAGCTCTCCTCTATCTAGCAGCCCATCAGGAGTCGGTTGTAAGGAACAGGATTTAGAGAGCTCCTGTATAGAGTAAAATGTTTCATGAGAAAACACAGTCCAACCATGAATCTTGAAATGTCATCCCAGGGTATTTTCTTCCTGCAAAATCTTCAACTGCAGAACAGAGAAGTTGCTCGTGGTTGACCCCTTTGAGCGAGACAGTAAATACCCCTTTTGTCCAGCCATTTGCAGGCTATTCAGACTGAAAAGTTCCTTGTGGGATTCAGGGTCTCTGATTTTTTTCAGCCCTGGCTATCACAGCTAGTTCAAATAGCATCTGATGGGGCCCCAACTCTCCCGTGCACTTTTTTCTTCAAGCATCGATAAGTCTCAAATGAACAAGGCTAAGATACTGGCAGTC